TTTTTTTTGTTTTTTACATTCAGCCGATGTTGAGCACTTTACTTTCAGACTCGTAAGGCGCACAGGACTGAATGGACAGGAAGTGTTTTCGCAGATGAATGCCATCTCACCTGTGACGATTACAAATCTTCGAGCAGCAACACCGTATAAATTGTTTGTGACTGTGAATGATAGTCAGACGGATCCGTTTGAGATCACTGAGCTTTTCAATACGGCTGAAAGCAGTAAGTACTTTTTGCAATTTACTTATATATTTGTTTTTATTTTGGCTCACCTCTTTCTACGTATCTCATTTTGAACACGTATCTTTTTATTTGTTCTTTTACTCAGTTTTTCATTGTATTAATCACGAATAGGTTTGTTGAAAACACACTTGATTGTATTTCCTTTTCTTGACTGACATGATTTTTCCAGAACCTCATCCACCGAAATACGAAGATGTGCGTGTGCTAAACTCTGGATCATCCCTAATCTGCGAGGTGGAATGGAGAGCTCCTTCTCTAACAAATGGGCGAATAAGTCGTTATTACGTCAGTTTTGAGCTTTCACTAAAAACTTTTAACAAATTGCTATGAATCACTTTAGGTAAGAGTACAAGGTGCTGTACGTCGAATGAGACCTGGAGGTCCTCTAGTCGCCGACGATTTCCCTCCACCTACTGATGAAGAAAAATGCGCGAACTGGGATGAGAGAGAAGATGTTTCACACGGAATCAATCCAATCGAGTTCACAACAGAGTTCCTGTCATGCAAGTACGGTCCTTTGAAGGTAAGCGTTTTCTTTGGCAATTTTGTACCTTTTCGCATCTAATAAATGTCAACAAAGCATCTTTTATTGTAGCCCAATCGGAACTATACTATCACAGTTTGGGCGGAGAACTCCGCCGGTCGTTCATCTCCATTAGTGTTCCCTAAACATTGTATCACTAACTATGCTCAACCTGATGTAGTAAGTTATTCTTCTTTCGAGGCTATGCTTACTTTTCACCATATAATTACGCTTTTAGGTCGAGAAGCCAATAACGTCAACTAATTCTAATCATACTTCTTTCAATCTAGCTTTCAACTCTAAGCCAGATGATACAAATGGTCCTATCAGGTGACTTCTTCAGATTTATACTTATTTCCCTATTTTTGTCCAACATCTCTTCATTAACTGCAATAAACATTCTACCTGTAAAAATCTACTTTAGTTGTTATTATATCGGCATTGTTCCATTGCTCAAAAATGTATCGTTGGAAACGCTTCCGCCTCCACAGGAAATTGTCATGGATACGGTGTCAAAGGTGAATTTGCTGTAAGACTTCGTTTGCGTATAAATTTCTGGATAATCTCAACGCATTAGTAGTTATCAGCTCATCTTTTATTATTGCTGGTACTTCGTTCAAATATTAATTTTTTGACAATAATTTTTTTGGTCGTATCTTATGCAAATGCTCTAGGCTTTCAACAACAACCTCCTCCCTCTTGCTGCCGAGAAGAAACGTTTTTTTGCTTACATTGCCGAAAGTTACACTGATTATCCGCCAGACACAGTAATCGGAGATGGAAAGGGAGTAGCTGGCATGAAACCGTGCAGTGTTCTGTATGTTCTTTGTGGATAGTCTTCTAGTTTTAATCTTCGATCAGCTGCCTATCTTGCAGGTACCTTAGTCGATATAAGGCAGAGGACGTTATTCTTCGGCCTGGATTGAAGTATACAGGTTTTCTGATTGTGAGAGTGGACAAGGATGACAAGGAGGAAGTGCAAACTGGAGCACATTACACTCGATTGTGCGTTAAGGGTCTGTCATCATTGTGATGCGCTTAATTTCTCTTATTTCCAGGCTGGATCCCTTAAGGCCAAGATCATACCGGCAGCTGCATCTTAGCGGTCCAGCGTATGGTTTTAGCGAATATTTCAAGCCAGTGTTTTTGGAGCCAGAAGATGGTAAGATTTACTAAAGAATGACTACAGTTTGATCTTCTGGGAATTACATCTTTGAGCCTAAAGCTGAACGTTCGAGCTACCTTAATGTTATTTTAAATTAATATTAAAATCATGTTCTTATTGTATCCGGTGCATGTTAGTTGCAGAAGGAAACCTGATCGGCACATTTTTCACTGTATTGGTCCCATTGCTGGTTTTCCTCACAATGGCATCTGTATTAGCGCTGTTTGTACTACACAAGTAAGCTATAAGTACTTTATTTCTTTCGGCCTCATTTCTCCCCTTTACGATCTGAGATTCAATTCTTGTAATCATATTTTTTTTAAATACTAATTTTTTTAACAGACGTGGAGAAGTGTCTCAATGGTGTCAATGGCTGTGGATGTCTAAAGAATCGTCAATAGGAGCCGAACGAACTCTTCTTAGACCATCAGCTTATCATGCCATTGCTGTGGACGATTTACCGTCGGAATATCTTATGAGACATCGTGATTCAGACTTTCTTTTTGCTCAGGAATACGAGGTAAGTCATTGATTTTACCATTTATTT